TATACATTTTGAATGAATTTGTTAAGAAATGTTCATTTTGAGATCTACATGCCTTGGTGTCTAGGGCAGCAGAAGTTGAGACTTTGTTGAGATCTCTGAAGCTCTGGGGTCTTTTTCTCAGTAGAAACATCTGGGAAGCTGGAGACTTCATTTAAAAGCCTCTCAGTTTTCTTTGAATTGAACATTTTTGCAGTCTAGCGGAAACAATTGAGATTTCAACCAAACTGAAAATGTTGTTACAAACCCTTATGCTACAGTGAATAATGACTTAAATTTCATCCTCTTTCTCTATCACATGACTTTAGAAGTCTTGTAACATAGTGCATAAGCCGTATGGACTATAATACTTTTATGGTGCTTTATTGGCCTTCTTAAGCTTCACTATAAATGGTCATTGTTTAGAAAAGAACAACATCATGTTTTTAGGCATAAAAAGCAACTACACAGGTTTGGAATGACATGAGGGTGAGTAAATAATGCCAGAAATTTCATTCTCGGGTCAATTGTTCCTTTAAAAAGAACTCATTTGTGTTTCGTCTTCCCTGCGGGGACATCCATGATGTGAAAGTGAGTTAAACGATACCTGGATGTGCTCTTCAGAAGCGTCGCTCGTACATTAATGAGCACAGCTGGGAGCTGTCAGCCGAGGGCTCTGCCTGCTTTTACTACCTCTTCCTCTCCCGTCTGTTTTTGACTGAGAGGCTGAAAATGAGCTAAGGGGCAGTGATGCTTCCATGGCAACAATCTGTCACGGCATATGTGTGTGTGAGTGTCCTTCCGCTGTGATGTCCATTCCCTCATGTGACGGCTCACACACACACACACACACACACACACACATGCACATACTTCAACCATGTTGACATGTCCCTAGAGACTGTGAACCATTGTTATTTTACTGCCATTATAGTTTTTATTAATATTCTGAATAATTTTTTATTGTTGTTTTCTTTTTCTGCTTTAATTTTAGTTAAAGGAGACATATTATGCCCCTTTTTACAATATGTAATATAAGTCTCTGGTGTCCCCAGAATGTGTCTGTGAGAGTGCTGTTGGGTTTTTTATGGAAGTCTCTTATGCTCTATGGAGTTATTTTTGTGTCTTTATTATTCAATCAAACATTATGTGTTTGAGAGTAAAACTAATTATTTTGTAATTAAAAAATAAAAGATTGCAAAAAAAAGTCTTCTTAAGGCTCAAAAATATAGAAACAAAAATGATTCCATAAATAATAAGGATGCATTTTTTTCAGGAAAAAAAAATCCTTTAACAGAAATGTACAATGAATTGGAAATAATCCTTAAAATGCATTTGGCCAAATTCATAATGTAAATATAGAACAAATCAGACAGTTGTTGATACAGAGTAAGATTATGGAGATATA